GCGACTAGCTCATTTTCCAGAACATATTGAACGCATTCAAATTCTGTGTTGACAGCACTTCGTTCGAATCTTCCCATTCAACATCTCCGGCAAAAGTGCTCCGACCCCCCTCTCAGCAGCAATTTCCTGCCACAGTCGAGAGCCTTTTTAAATTAATCAGAAGCGCTGGAAATCATGATAAACTGCTTCCGGTTTCGTTCCTCGCCGCGCACGTCTATAAATATATCCCGACCAACTCCCGGCACACTTTTGTGTGTCTTTTTCGTGTTGAGCGTGCACTCTGCGTGGCTTTTGCGTGCAAGGGGAATGAAATATTCAGGTAACAAGGCAGGCAGGCACTCACGTCCTGGAAATTTCGACCGTGCGCGTTGAACATCCCCTGCGCACGCACGACATGCAATTAGGCACGCAGGGGATGACAGATTCTTATTTTCTTGTAGTTTTGTTGTTATTTCCAGAGGCGCTGTCATTCAAATAAGATCCCAGCGATGGTATTGCACAAAAGCAGCGATTGGAGGCGAAGTACCAGTGAGGTAGCGTGGGCGCAGAGAGAGTTTTTGTGGCCCACAGGCTAGAGAGCACTTTGTGCATTATACATTAGAATCTTTTTTTTTTTTTTTTTCTTCCTGCCTCCGTCACGTTTCTGCAGGAGATATCAAAGGCATCAGCTCCCGTTTGAGCGCGCGCACGCTCTGTCGGCCTCCGGTTGAACGCCGGGAAAACAAAACAAAGCGCGCATCTTCACTTTGCTTTGGACCGGTCACGTGGAATCAGGGGTGAAGGCAAAACAAAAGGGCTTCAAAGCAATACAAAGCGCTCGTACGACCACGTGCCGAAAGCGCTTTGATGGATGAATGGACCGCAATGAGAAGTCATTGATGGAAAGAAGAAAGCTTTATCTTCTTTTCTCTTGCCCTTTCCAAGCTAGGGCCTCCAATAACAAATGTGGCGTGAAAACAAATTGTCCTCACATGTCGCCGAACACATCTTGTTATTGACGGCAAGAAATTCAGCATTTTTTTTTTTTTATGTCGCACTGAAAGAAGATGACTTTCGCCGCCAGCCCACGGGGAAAACCTTTTGACTTCTATAGCCGTCAATGGGAGTGTATGAGTTATTGAGCTAGTTAGCTTCAAGCTAACATTGTCCGATTTCGCTTTTGGTCGAGACAGCACCCGGCGGGGCTTGGAGACATCGGCCAAAGCGAGGAAGTGACGGACACGGAGGACAACGAGGAGGAGGAGGAGGACCTGGGCGTGCTGGACGACCAGAGGAGCGTCATTCTGCATTTGCTCTCCCAGCTCAAACTGGGAATGGACCTCACCCGGGTGAGTTCTGTTGTGGTCTTCCTCGAACACGCCGGCGGGTCTTTCGTTGTTAACGCTCTGGATTTTTTTTTCCCCTAGGTGGTGCTGCCGACATTTATTCTGGAAAAGCGCTCGCTGCTGGAAATGTACGCCAACTTCATGGCCCATCCGGACCTGTTCCTGTCAGTCACAGCCGGCGTTACGGCCGAGGAGCGCATCGTCCGCTTCGTGGAGTACTACCTGACGTCTTTCCACGAGGGGCGCAAGGGGGCTGTTGCCAAGAAGCCCTACAACCCCGTGCTGGGGGAAACCTTCCACTGCTCCTGGGAAGTACCTCGAGACAAAGTCAAGCCTTGGGTCCGAGCCAACCAGGGGTCCGCTCGCGAGTCGGGCAGCGGCGCAGCAAGCGGCTGCTACAGAGTCCGCTTTGTGGCCGAGCAGGTTTCCCATCACCCGCCGGTTTCTGCTTTTTACTGCGAGTGCAGAGAGAGGCGGGTGTGCGTCAACGCGCATGTGTGGACCAAGAGCAAATTCATGGGCATGTCCATCGGAGTGTCCATGGTGGGAGAAGGTGGGTCTCTCTCAACCGTTTGCCTCTTTCCTGAAACCAGACATCCCAAGCAGGAATATCATCCGCTGCTACCTTGCGTGTCACTCAAATTGAAATAAAAAAGATAATCACTCAACTTTTCATGCCTCTGGAAGGCAGTGACAATTTCCAGAAGCATTCTAAATAAGTAAGGGGGAGATTTCCAGTACGTTATTACGGTACTGTACGTACTGCAATACGGGGCGAGTTTTGAGAGTAGGGCTGCAACTACAAATTGTCATAATCGATGAATCTGCTGATTGCTTTTTGTCGATTAATAAGGTGGCCATTCTCAAAAAGAATTAGATTGGTCAACGGCAATTTCTTTTTAATCAGCTAGCTTTATTTTGTCCCTTCATGCAGATTTCAAATATGTTTTACTACTAGCCTATCACATAATTTTTTTCCCCAGATATTTTTTCTTTTTTTTCTTTTGTCATCCATACGGATGACGACGAGCATTCAATTAGTATGGCGTTTTGACTTAATGGTTGTCATAAAGATTATCGCTTGTGGCTAATTACCAAAGACTGCTGCCGTTAAGGTTGTTGAACAAGTATGGAGCTATTGGCTTCTTAAAAAAAAAAAGCCTTTCATTTATGATCCAATTATATTGGCGGAATGCCTCATTGTGTTTTGTTGCACATGCGAAGACCTTAATAGCGTAACGAGGAGACGAAAGGGGCTTGTCAGTTGCGCCGTGACCATAATGTGGGAATGATTTAACAAGGCAGGGCCTTGATAACTTCTGACATACTTCAAGTTCCTTCCCTCCCCCGGCCAGGCGTGCTGTGTCTCGCGGAGCACGAGGAGGAGTATGTCTTCTCGCTGCCGTCGGCCTACGCCCGCTCCATCCTCACCGTGCCCTGGGTGGAACTGGGAGGGAAAGTCTCCGTCAATTGCGCCAAGAGCGGCTACTCGGCCACTGTCACGTTCCACACCAAGCCTTTCTATGGCGGCAAAGTCCACAGGTGGTCATTCCGAATTGAATTTGCCTTCTGAGTATTTCGCTAACACGTCTTTGTCCGTGTCTTAGAGTGACTGCGGAGGTGAAGCACAACCCGACCAACACCATCGTGTGTAAAGCGCAGGGGGAGTGGAACGGAACCCTGGAGTTCACCTACAGCAGCGGCGAAACCAAAGTGATCGACACGGCTAAGCTCCCTGTCACCAGGAAAAAGCTGCGACCGCTCGAGAAACAAGGACGCTCGGAGTCCAGGTACAGGGCGACGTAACAGACCAACGCGCACAGATGGACGTTGATGGGATTGATTGCGCGTTTGTAGGCGGCTGTGGCAACACGTGACCAAGTCGCTGAGAGACGGCAACATGGACGAGGCGACGGAGCACAAACACGGACTGGAGGAGCAACAGAGGGCGGACGAGAGACGGAGAGCAGCTGTTAATAAAGCCTGGACGCCGAAATACTTCATGAAGGAGGTCAGACGCTCATGCGGCAACATTTTACGCCAACTTAAAAAATACTCGGATCTTCCATGAACACATTAAAATGCGGCGTTCATTAAAAAAACGAGGACGCAAAGTTTGTATTCAAAGTCCATTTCATATTGTAAGCAATAGAAATTGCGCTTGAATGTTGAAAAATGACGCATTTAAAATGGACTGCGCAAATTAAAGAAATCTCTCACAACAGTATCATGCGTATCGAATCATACTTAAAAGTTAAATACAACTGAACCGAGTTTGGACTGGATTCAAGAAGCAAGCAACATGATGCATTTTTAAATACCTCAGTTGATTGATTTGGTTGCATTCCACTAGTAGCTTGAGATTCACCGAGGTAGCCAAATTAAAGGACCAGTTCAATTAGCAGGCCTCTAATATGATGGGCCAAGTGGGCTCAATAATTTATCACAATAGTATAACATCCGGCGACAGCGTGGATGACCGGTTAGCGCGTTGGCCTCACAGTGCAGAGGTGCAAGGTTCGATTCCAGCTGCGGCCTTCCTGTGTGGAGTTTGCATGGTCTCCCCGTGCCTGCGCGGGTTTTCTCCAGGTACATCGGTTTCCTCCCGCCTTCCGAAAACATGCGCTTTAGGTGAATGGAGCGCTCTATATTGCCCCTAGGTGTCACTGTGAGAGCGAATGGTTGTCTGAACTGGTTGCCAGTCAACTGCAGGGCACACAGACAAAACAACCATCCACGCTCACAGCGCGGGACAATAAAAAAAGTGTTCCATTAACCTGCCACGCATGTTTTTGGGGTGGGGGGGGGCGAACCCACGCAGGCACAGGGGAAAATGCAAAATCCACACAGGACACTGGAATTGAATCCTGCACCTCCGCACTTGGAGGCCGGCACACTAACCAGTCGACCACCGTGCCGCTCAAGAGTATAACAACTTTTGCAGCATCTTGAACATAACTATGTTACGCATTACGCAAACACTGATGTATAGTAAGGTGTTTTTTACCGAAAAAAAACGACCATGTATAAGTAGGCTGCTTTAGCTGAAAAAACGACCATGTATAGTAAGGCGTTTTTAACTAAAAAAAAAACGACAATGAATAGAAAGGCATTTTTAGCCGAAAAAAATGACCATGTATAGTAAGGCGTTTTTAGCCCAAAAAAACGACCATGTAGTAAGGCGTTTTTAGCCGAAAAAAGACCATATATAGTAAGGTGTTTTTAGCCGAAAAAAAACCAACCGTTTTTAGCCGAAAAAAACTACCATGTATAGTAAGGCATTTTTAGCCGAAAAAAAAAACGACCATTTTGAGCCGAAAAAAACGACCATGTGTAGTAAGGTGTTTTTAGTCGAAAAAAAACAACCAAGTATAGTAAGGCGTATTTAGCCGAAAAAAAACAACCGTTTTTAGCCGAAAAAAACGACCATGTATAGTAAGGCGTTTTTAGCCGAAAAAAAACGACTGTAAAGTAAGGCGTTTTTAGACGAAAAAAACGGCCATGTATAGTAAGGTGTTTTTAGCCGAAAAAACGACCATGTATAGTAAGGCGTTTTTAGCCGAAAAAAACGACCATGTATAGTAAGGCGTTTTTAGCCGAAAAAAAAACGACCATTTTGAGCCGAAAAAAACGACCATGTATAGGAAGGCGTTTTTAGCCGAAAAAAACGACCAT